ATGGGGGTTGCGTTCATTGAACGCCGCCCTTCCTTGTTGGTCTTGTTTATCATATTTTGTGATCCTCAATAAAATATGTATAAATTGACCCCTATATCAGGTTAACTTAGTTTATTTAGACTTGTATTAGGGATCATCCTCTTTTCTAGGAAAATACATTTAAATCTTATTTTGTGAAACTACATTGCCAATAGTTTTGGTATTTGGAATGTAACATTGCATTGTGGATCTTTAAAATACTCTATGTTATGCCTCATAATTTGGCCTCAACCTAGGGGTCAGTTAAATAGGCTTACATAGAACAATATATTTTGCAGAACCTGCGCTTAGATAAATGACATCATCTAGCATAGCCAAATGCAAACTACAAAAGTACGAGGGTTGTCCCAAAATGTCGTACACTACATTATTTTCTCTTCAACCTGACGTCATAACTTAATTAAATTTACCAGATATCTTCCTTGGTCATTTATTAATTTACCTACCTAAAGTCAATAGCCAATATATTAGGTAACGCTTTTTATCAGGGTTTTATATTAAACAATACAATATACCCGGAGCACGATAAAATATTAGTCAATGTTGCGAGCATGCTTCTTAAAACATGCCTTTAACTTCCAGCATAAAAATAATTATGGGAAATACCTTCCTGTGGAAAGACGTTATTCATTTTTACGTGATATCACCAACAGACGTTTATGTAACGTTACTTTGAAAAAATCTGTAGCATTATATGTAACAGCAATGCTATTTTGAAAATTCCCAAAATGGCGACGTCGGATGAAAATGCGGCGCAGTGCGATGTCATAAATGTTTATGATAAATGGGTCGCCCGATACCGACAATGGATCGAGAAACACGGAGAATACTTTGAAAAACATTTTTAAAAATCTTATAACGTCATGACGTTTATGACGGCGTGCGCCGGGTATGAATAAGTAGCATTCTTTAAATTTTAATAACTTGGTCAACTTTGGAGGTATTTTAATTTTATTTCGCATAGACACTCATAAAAGGTGTTTTGACTTTTCCCTAGCTTGACGACTCTATTGTGTTATAATTGATTGAGAAACAGACTTTGTCTACGATATTTTGTGACAACCCTCGTAATATAGATCACGGCATTAGAGTCAAAATTGGTCCCGCCCTGTTGAGTTTTATTATAATTCATAAAGATTTGTATGTGGAAAAATATATTTAAAGACTTCTTCTGGGAAACAGCAATCATAAATAGTATTAAAATATGCCGCATTATCTAGTTATTCTTACATGTTAAAAAGTTCCTTCTCTGAAAGTAAAATGACCAGAACAACCTTATGGCCCTTTTAAAAGGAAAGTTAATCATGACCCAGTAATCATAATTGGCATCGCCCGTCCTGGAGGTCAATAGTTTATACAAGATTATAAAGGAAAATATATTAAAGTCTTCTTTTGTGAGTAGAGAAATTCGTTAATTAGCATTTCGTAGCATACGCCTAAAATATTTTTTAAATTCTGCAGTTTTAGTAAAAGATGACAAACCAAATGAGACATCATAATCATTACTGACATCAATATTACTGATTTTACTGTTTGTTAACCAACTTCAGTCACGTGACGTGGTTGTCGTTACAGTAATAGTTTCATTTCTAATTTAGTGTTAACTTTTAGAGCAAATTTTTAAAAAAGTAACCAGATATACAATTATATATTAACAACAGTAATGATGATATAATGTAAATTGTAAAATATCATTTATGGCATATACATGTAGGCCTCGATGTTCAAGAAATAATTATTTTACATGTATGCACGTCTGGTGCCTGGCTGTTATGGTCGTCCGCCGCATATAAACTTTATTCAAAAGTGCCACTTCCATTTTCTATTTTATGCGGTTTTAAATTCTTGTTTAAAATTATACTCAGTTGGATCGAGCACATTTAAGGGATTGCCATGTATGGTTTAGGGCTTAATCTTAACGGTTTTTCTGGAAGTCCAAACATTTAAGTTCCGCGTTGAAGCACTTTCAAGTGCTACTACATTTCATTTTCTTTACGGTAAAAGTATTTCTGGATCATACAAGTTTTAACATTAGATGTCAGTAACTAATAATGGTGCAAAACAATATATCATATCCATTGTCGAACTTGAAAAATCATTTGTGAAAATAAGGAACACAGCATTTTAAGGTAAAAGTTATTTTCATCATTTATTTGTACTTTGAAATGCAAAATATACACAAAGATATCCAAGTCAGAAATAACAATTATAATTAGACTAAAGTATCATATAAATAATACAACGACATTCCTTATGAATAGAGTAAAATCTATCAAATAACATTTCATTTGGTTTTAAGTTGTTACTTTAATATCGACTTATATGTAATAACAATTTATATCTATCTTTCAAAACAACATATCAGCGCAGTTTTTATTGTTCAATTGTTTTAATAGGCACTTGGAAAGTAACTAATGTGCCATTAAATGTATAGATTTTATAATGATATTGATAATGTGTTGAATTTTCATTTCAATTTAAGAGATGTCGTCATACAGTGTTCAGACTGAAAATCTCATGAAGAATTAGGTGGTTTGCGGCAATCTGCAAGTATTGCTTTTTTATGCATTACATAGTTCAAACACGATAATATTTTGGAGCATATTGGCAATGTCTTTCATTGGATATACCCCTGATTTCTCGTGCGCATTTACTGGAAACGTCTCGCAGTCATCTTTATCTACACTTTAATCTAAGCAATGTTTCTCCTGATCACCTATTGTTCTGCAGGACCGAATGCAACATGTAGTTCCTTACATATTTTCAACAATCAATGGAATACTATTGTAACAGAGGTACCTTAAATGTTAATGATATATCAAATAAATAAAATAAAGAAACAAATATATAACTATTTCTAAACTCATTTGCCATTTTCTTAATAAAAACGTTTATCAAATGACAATTTTATTTAACTACAGAAAGCTTTGTTAGATTTTTTTTAAGCATATCAAGATTATACTTACGTGTTATATATTCTATACACAGTGGAACCTAATTTTTGTGACCAGGCCCCGCTGGATGTGGCATTGCTTTACATCATACAGATGGTTGTATCTTGTGGGATCAAATTATTGCCAGGGACCAGATTGGGCGACAGTTTTGGCCGGGGGGGAAAAAAAACAATAATTTTCCGGGGTTTGTTTTCCTTGCCCTTTTTTCAATTTTTGGTTTTTCACTCGTCAGGGAAAATTTGTATGCGGGGCGTTCTTTTTTAAAATCGTAAAAGGAGCAGGCCCTCTCAAATACGGCTCTGTTAAATAAAAGGGGATAGAATTCTTTCCCCCTACAAAATGGGGGACCATTAGGTTTTTTTTCCCCTTTCAAAACCCGTTTGCAGCCATGTTACTAGCTTTTTGTTTCGGGATTTGCTTTAAACGGGAAAGGATTTTAATTTTTTTAAAGACGATATTGGTTTTTTTTTTTTCATAAGGGTTTTGGTAAATTTTCTCCCAAAAAATTTTTTCGGGGACGAATTTTTCCCCTTTTCATCTCAATTTTTTTAATAGGGTTTCTGAAATTTATCACAAAAAACCAGTCAGTTAAAAAATGCAATCAATCGAAAGCAGTTTTATAACAAGTTTAAGACCCTGTGTTGTAATATCTAGTATCAATCAAGGATGGGAATCCTATCGTTTAATGCGTTTTCTTTTAAAAGTTAATAGAATAACGATTTCATTATGTTTACAGGTTCTTCCCAGAAAGTTTTAGATGGTTGGGTGCTAAGATGAAATTGAAGCGAGCGAAAGAATCAATCGAATTTATTGCAAAAGTTAACAGAAGAAAATATCCTGACCTAGAAGAAGTATTTAATAGAGCAAAAGAGGAAGCAGTTTTAAATATCAAAATGAATTCTAATTTCACAAAATTATTGACTTCGAAAGAGTTGCGAAAAGTGACCTTCCTTTTAAGTATATAAAGGGAGGGGCATTTTTTTTATGTTTAAATTAAAAATTTTCATTAAAAACAAAGATATTGTTTTTAAATGGGTTATTTAGGTTCTGTTTTTAATGTAAATAAATTATAAAACATTAAATTTTAATTATTTAAAAACACTGAAACCCCGTTCAAAAATGGAAAAAACTGTAGGGAAAATTTTTTGAAATAAAAGGGTTTTGGGCGGGACCCCGGTTTCCCAATTTCCCGCTGAGAAAATCATTGTTTTCTGGCAGACACAAGAGCTAAGTTTTAGTTGGTTCCAGTAACAGGATTTGCGAAAGTGATCCTTAGATTTAAAGCTATCTACATAATCGAAATGTTAAATGTGTAACACTATTAACATTTAAAAAGTAGTAATGAAAAATTGATTCTGTCGTCTACATTTAATGACATAGTTTAGAAACAGAAGATACATGCATTTCTTTTTTACCAAAAAACATTCATTTTATAGGTTTTCTGCGTGCCTTTCGTGGTATGCCTTTCACTTGGAAAAAGAGGCTGTTTCTTTTAACGTGTATCTGACCAATGTTTACTCATGAAACTTTGCTGACTTCCCTGCAGATTTTGAAAACAAGCGTTTTTAATTAGCAGGTATCCATGCCTAATAAAATAAATTAATATTATAGAGTTCATTTATACTGTCATTAAAATTGTTTAATAACAATAATGAGTACTATTATTAAATAGCACCCTGTGGTAACCAGCAGTTGCATGTAAAATATTAACGTGCGTGCCTTTCATTATAATTTAACATTATATATTTTTCAAACTGTAATTTCCACGTGGCAGATAAAGTCAATGTCAAAATAAGATAAAGCCTATTTTCAAAATTTTATAATTTCCAAGGAAAATCCACATCAAAATCAGAGTATAGTAAAGCAAACCTAAACATTATGATATTTAACAAAAAGGAATGACCTTCTAAATTGGCAGTTCTCTAATTTGTCAAAAATAAATTTCATTAATTAATTAAGTTATCATTTTTATACATGTTCAATCTTTATTTCCTTTCTTATAGATATGATAGGAAAAAGTTTTGCCTAGCAATTTTCTGTGTGTCTGGAATTTTATGTTGTGCCGCCGGTGTTTTCCAACATTTTGGTAACATGTTAATTCAGATCTATGTTAATAGACCTTAGTGTTTCAATTTAAATCAGTTTTGAGGGGGATATAGAAATAGTCTCCGTCCGTCCGTCCGACATTTTTGTCCGGAGCATATCTCTAAAAGTATTTGAGTGATCAACTTGAAACTTCATAGGTGGATAGACCTCATAGAAAAGGAGTGCAGTGCACAAGAATGATAACTCTACCCTGCATAATTTTTGAGTTATTGCCCTATGTTATTTTTCAAAATTGATTTTTGTCCAGAGCATAACTCCAAAAGCCTATGAGATATCAACATGAAACTTCATAGGTGCATATATCTCACTCAGGAGGTGTGCAGTGCACAAGAATGATAACTCTACCTTTCATAATTTTTGAGTTATTGCCCTTTGTTATTTTCATACTTAATTTTTTCACCTGAGTGGAGCAAAACTCAAAAGTTTTTGAGATATCAACATGAAATGTCATAGTTGGATAGATCTTATTGAGGAGGAATGTTGTGAGCAAGAATGATAACTCTTCCCTATACAATTTTTGAGTTATTGCCCTTTGTTCTTTTTCATGCTATTTTGTCCAGAGCTTATCTCAAGAAGTATTTGAGGTATCAACTTGAAACTTCATAGGTGGATGGATCTCATTGAGGAGGAGTGCATTGCACAAGAATGATAACTCTACCCTGCATTATTTTGAGTTATTGCCCTTTGTTTTTTTTTTCAAAATTAGTTTTTGTCCAGAGCATAACTCAAAAAGCCTTTGAGATATCAAAATGAAACTTCATAGGTGCATAGATCTCACTCAGGAGGTGTGCAGTGCACAAGAATGATAACTCTACCTTTCATAATTTTTTAGTTATTGCCCTTTGTTATTTTTCATACCTAATTTTTCACCCGAGTGGAGCATAACTCAAAAGTGTTTGAGATGTCAACATGAAATGTCATAGTTGGATAGATCTTATTGAGGTGGAATGCTGTGCACAAGAATGATAACTCTTCCCTGTACAATTTTTGAGTTATTGCCCTTTGTTCTTTTTCATACTATTTTGTCCGGAGCTTATCTCAAAAAGTATTTGAGGTATCAACTTGAAACTTCATAGGTGGATGAATCTCATTGAGGAAGAGTGCAGTGCACAAGAACGATAACTCTACCCTGCATAATTGTTTAGTTATTGCCCTTTTTTATTTTTCAAAATTAATTTTTGTCCAGAGCATAACTCAAAAGGCCTTTGAGATATCATTATGAAACTTCATAGGTGCATAGATCTCACTCAGGAGGTGTGCAGTGCACAAGAATGATAACTCTACCTTTTATAATTTTTGAGTTATTGCCCTTTGTTATTTTTCATACTTAATTTTTCAATTCAATTTTTTTCTCAAAAAGTATTTGAGGTATCAACTTGAAACTTCATAGGTGGATAGATTTTACTGAGGAGGGATGCAGCACACAAGAATGATAACCTACCCTGCATTATTTTTCAGTTATTGCCCTTTGTTATTTTCAGCCATCAGTATTCACATAGGTTTCAAATCTGTAATCACTATAGCCATCAGTTTTCATTACCAAAAGACCTCTAAAAATGGAATTATTCTGCTCTACTACACATACATTCTTCCAATGAGCAAACACATTCGGCGGGGGATGGCCATGTTGACATGGCTCCTGTTTTAATCATAAAAAACATCTTAGAACAACACATGTGAAAAGTTTTGTTCACTAGAACAAAAATTACAAAAATGTTTAAATCAAAAAATACAAAAATGTTTAAATTAAAATTTTGTTTAATGTGAAATTGTATTAACAAGATTCAATTTTGATTAATATCATTAATATTGAAGACAATTTTGTAGATTTAGCTCTTCCAATTTTACAGCTTGTGTTCAATTATGACTTGTCTATGTCAAAACATTTATCAGTGTCATAAGCACAATTTTAAGAGCATCCCAATCATTTTGAAATTTACTTCCACTTTTACATTATATACTTCATTTCAAAGTGGACGAAAATAGACCTTAGAGTGATTCAATTTAAATCAGTTTTTTTAATCATATAAAACATCTTAGAACAACACATGTAAAAAAGTTTTGTTCACTAGAACAAAAATTTTAAAAATGTTTAAATTAAAATTTTGTTTAATGTGAAATTGTATTAACAAGATTCAATTTTGATTAATATCATTAATATTGAAGGCAATTTTGTAGATTTAGCTCTTCCAATTTTACAGCTTGTGTTCAATTATGACTTATCTATGTCAAAACATTCATCAGTGTCATAACCACAATTTTAAAGAGCATCCCAATCATTTTGAAATTTACTTCCACTTTTACATTATATACTTCATTTCAAAGTGGACGATGACCGTTTTCTTCGTAATTCAATTCTATTATACAATTAAAACATTTCCGTGTGTTGCTTTTATAATATCCTTTATTTACAATGTCCATTTTTTCCAGATAAAATATCGAAAACATCTTCTCATATCGTAGCTACATTTGTGGTTTCAATGTTGGCCAAATTTGCTGTAGCATCAGCAGACAGATGTGTTACCCTTTACACAACGGAACTATATCCTACAGTTATAAGGTTACTATGTTATCAAATTTTTAACCCGATAATTTATTCACAAAAAGTCTGGCATTTCAACGTAAATTGTTGTTCTATGAGTTATCCAATAAAGGTAACAAAAAGGTTTGCAAAATTTAAATTTAAGTGTAATTCATACAAAAATATCTTGTTGTTTTTACTTACAAGTTTTTAAGTAAATGCATTATATTTTATTGTTCCAGCGAAAAATTCTGTCTATTCATGACTAAAAGTGTTTTTTACATAAAATTATTCATACAATTGGCATAGTCGATGTTTGCATTATTATATAAAATGTGAAATTCTTATCATTCTAACACTATCGGAGATTTCTCTTATATAAAAAAAGAAAAAAAAATTCTGGAAACAAAGTGATCCCTCAGAAGCATTAATCACAACAAAATAACATAAGAATTGCAGACTCGGTTTGATTGAGTCTGTACATGAGGGATAATGAATAAGTGCAACAATCGTCACAATCGTGAAATATTTCACAAAAATGCTCTCGCCGTTCTTAATTAGTCCCTTAGTATTTTCTAACCGACACATTGACGGCGCCATTTTGTTTAAAAAATCTGATCAATAAAAACAAACTTTTGTTGATTTATGTAATTTTGTTCTGAAAACTATCTTGAATGATAGAATATGGTCTAATTTAGAACATCGCAAAACAGTTAAATTTCATACTTATTTCATTACAAATAATCTGTATTTTGCTTTAAAAATATAGAGTGAAATAGAATTAACACATTTGATGATAGTTTTCAAAATTAATTATTCTCAAAACGCTTCTGCAAACGGTAGACTTAACGACAGTTGTTTTCAACTGACTAGAACAGCCTTTAAAGAACGTTTCTATTGGAAACTCTGAGGTGAAAACAAATTTGAATACCAAACATATAGTCCAGCTATATTTTTCTTCTTCTCGTGTTTGAATGAAAATAGATATTATTAATTCTTCGTGCATTATAGTTATTTTCGTTCAAATGCTTTGTAATTGATCTCTCAGGCCTATCGGCCTTCGTGATTGTATTCTACAACAATGCATTCAGAATTAATATCTATTTCTTATATCACTTATTTTATTATTCTCACGTTTATTAATACTATATTTTAAGTTTCTACCTTTGTCATCTTTTTAAAGGACAACAGGTTACAGTTTCCAGGCGACTGTTGGGCGCTGTGGGGCAATTGTATCTCCATTTTTGATTCACATTGTAAGTACTATAATTAATATTTTTTTATATGTGTAAGCCTTATAATATGCAAGTTGTTTTGTTCCTTTTTAAAGGAGTTTATGCGCGGACATTTGACAGGATTTCTACATATTACCTATTCTTTTACTTGCAAGTTCTGTTTTTAAAAAATAATCGTTATCAAACTTCTTGAATTATATTAAGTAATTTTCTTTCCTTATTCAGATAAGATGATTATATGCTGAAGCAAAAGTAATTTATTATCTTTATACAGGATAGATATTTCCCCGGTGCCATGTACTTCCTCTCTGGAGTTATGTTGCTTATCTCTTCGGTTTGCATTTTGTTCCTAAGGGAGACAAAGGACATGGTACTACAGGACTACATCAGACCGGATCCATCAGATTTAAGTACTAAATAAACAGATTAATATTTTCATCGACTCGCCTTTAATTGATAGTTCATTGCTAAAGAAAGATAAATGAAGTGAACATTGCCAGGACGTATTGAAATTATGTTTTATTTTCTATTATGATCTTATGTATTTGTGTTAGGTGTTAAAAGCATTATTAATCTAATATGAAAACAGAAAAATATGAATAAATTGAAATTGATTCCAGATCAGAATGTTAAACCTTTGAAAACTTGAGTAAGCTGAAAGTCGTCATTTTTGGATCATGCCTACACCCAAACAAAAATGATGTGTTTAAATCTTTACTTTGTTATAGATGATATATTTTCAAACACATTACATTTCCAGCACATTTTTTTTAATAAAAGGCCCATTATGCCCAATTTACTCATTTTATTGTTGGTGTACTATTGTAATGTCCATAAATTACTCATTGACAAATAACATGAACCATATTTTGTTTCATTGCTTTTTGGGAATTGTATAGTTTTAGTGATTGGGTATTTTGTATAGAAGTCAAATACTACTTTGTAACAATTTGTTACCGTTTTGACAGATAAAATCAGTCAGCTGTACGTTTGTCAGGCAATAATCATGTAACAAACTTTCAACTCATTACTTAAACTTTATAAATTACATGTTTGCCCGTTAAAAAAACATCAAAAAGCAAAAACAAAAGAGAAAAATATATTCGTTTCTGAGGTAAAATGTTCTTTTAAGCAAAGTCAGTAAGACTATGTGAGTCTAAATGACTTTTCTAAATTTCAGAGCTCGAAGGCTCCAAACAGAAAATAGTGATTCGATAAATCAAATTTCCAGGTGTGAATGTGCACAATTTTGTTGGAATTTAGAATCAGATTTGAGAATTGAGTATCTCCCAGGCCGGTGCTAAGGTGCGTGAGGGATGTTGCTCTTTTTCATAATCCCTCATGCACAGACTCAATCAAACCGAGTCTGCAATTTTCATGCTTCCGATGGATCATTGTTTTACCAGATATTGAGTACCCTTCCTATGGGCGTCATACAAAACCTTTTGTTTTAAAGTATAACAACAAAGTATATGGGAAAAAAGTGTGAATTGGAAAGAAATCCTTAACCAAAAGTGTGAATCCGTCGCAAATACTGATGCAGAATAATGTATTAACCTTCTTACGCTCCTTTTTTTAAAACCGATGGCAACGAATGTTTGGGATCTGTTTGACCCTAAATTAAAATTTATTGATTTTTAATCATAAGAATTAAAGGCCCAACTGGACTATAAAAGCCAGCAGATGGCGCTAGGGCAGGTTTCTTATTAATTTTATGCATGCTTCACTTCAGGGACCCTTTTTCAAAGATTTAAGATTAATTACCAAATGCATTAAAACAACACTTGGCATGTTTGTAGGCATAGATATTTTTGATAAAGATTGACCAAAATTATTCAAAATATGACTGTGTAAAGTGTATTTCTGAAAAAAAAACTGGCTGTCAAATTTGAAATTTGAATTTCCCTGGGAGGAGCCATGTGATCATTACAGGTCATGAACCTTCAGTAGTAAACAGAAGCACGTGGCAGTGTTTATTTCAGGGAGAGAGATTTGTAGCAGACGATGTATATTTCAGGGAGAGAGATTTTCAGCAGACGACACATTGGAATGCTGAATAAAACAATAACTTTTACTGACTTGCTTTATCAAATCCAACAAATTTACAATAATCCATTAATCTATGATTTTTTTTAAATTTTCAAAGTACTGATTTAACTTGTATTTGAATGGTTTAAACTTCATGAAAACAGTAAAAGTAACTTCCAGGTATATTTCATTTACACTATATTTTGTTGTAAATATCTTGTAGTAAAAAATTACACTTCACAAATGTTAATCAAACTAAATGTTGCATATGCATAAAATTTTTATACATTAACAGTTTAAAAATATTTTATATTCCTGTCAAGAACATTTTTAGCAGGTTGTTCCTCATGTATTAGGCACATCTTTTGGATTTTGATATAATTGTCTGACTTGATAAAGGACACATACAGCATTCCAGTGAAAAAAAGAAGAAAAACAACTGACTTCAAAAATAATATCTGGACAAGATGACTTGATAATGTCTTTAATTAATCTTTGAGTTATATAAAACATTCATTAAACCTCTCCTGTGTAAAATCAGCTGTTTTTGTTTACGTTCTCTCTGCAGGTTAACACTGCATGCTATTTATAGTTCAGGGTTTATAACAGACAGTTTTACATCACTGATTAGTCACACCCACAAATACTTTGTTGCTGGGTCATATGGGGGTTGCGTTCATTGAACGCCGCCTTTCCTTGTTGATCTTGTTTATCATATTTTTGACATTTTTAAGTTTTGTGGTTTTGTGCTCTCATAATACGACAGAGTTTTTTTTAAAAGAGGGCCGTGGTGGCCCTGGATCGCACACCACCTGAGATACACTGCTAGAAAAGGTCACAGTTTATCAATGTTAAAATTAAAGTTAGTGATGATTATGATGACACATTTGGTTCGTCATCTTTTACCAAAACTGCAAAATTCAAAAAAAATTCTAGACATACTACGAAATGCTTAATGAGAATATCTCGGCTCTTGATGTTGAAGTTTCACAAAACAAGACTTAAATATATTTTCCTTTATAAGCCTATATAAACTATTGATCCCGAAATCGAGCCCATATTTGACTAATTGTTCATGTGTGAAATTTTTCACAAAGTTCGTTTTATCTCTGTTTGTTTTGTTATTTAGCGTGCTTTGGAAGTTTTTGTCGTAAACGAAGATTATGAAAAGAAATTCAACATTTTCTTTTATGATATAGTGTTTTAAATGAACAAGACATTCCGACAACTCTTCTTTTTTTTGAAAATAACAAAGTTTCATTTTAATAATGACGGAAAAACGAATTGTAAACATAAACTACTTTTAAGTCGCTCAGCATCTTTACAACAGCTGAGCTATATACATCAGTAGTTAGGTTACTTATACACTTGTTTCAAACGTTAGGGTCTTTAAATATTAGGTACAACATGACGAAAACTTTGTTAAGTAATATGATATTTGGGCTAATCAGTAATTAATGTGGTTAAGATGTGTATCCGTACATTCTCTATTATTATTATTGAACTTACTACAGCAGCCACGTGACGTCGTTGTCGTTATAGTTTTATTTCTAATTAAGCGTTAATTGGTTGAAAAAGTAGACAGGCATTTAATCATACATTAACAACGGTAATTTAAAAAATGTAAAATGTGAAGTAGCATTTATGGCATATACATGTAGGCCTCGATGTTCAAGAAATTATTATAGTACATGTATGTACGTCTGGTGCCTGGCTATGATAGTCATTGACGCATGCAACTTTATTCAAAATTGCACTCCATTTTCATTTTATGGATTTAATTCTGCTAAATTCTGTAGCACAGTAGATGGAGCTTTTTTAACATTGCCATGTATGGTGATGCTTAATCGAACCGAGTTCAAGTGTTACTACATTTAAATTATTTTACAAGAAAAGCATTTCTGGATCACGCAAGTTTTAACATGAGTAATTAATAATGGTGCAAAACAACATATTATATCTATTGGCGAACTTGGAAAATCATTTGTGGAAATAAGGAACACTAATTGTTAAGGTAAATTTATTTTAATCATTTATTTGACGTATAAAAAATCTATTTACTTTGAAAAGAAAAATGTACAAAAGACATCTTAATCAGAAATTACAATTATGATCAGTTAATATAATGATAGTCTTGGTAAAAAAGAGTAAAGTCTATCAATAGCATTCTATTTGGTTTTAAAAAGTTACTTTAATATCGCCTTAAATGTAATAACAATTGATAACAACAGCTCAGTACAGTTTATACTGTTTAATTGCTATGAATATGTACTTGGAAAGTAACTTTTGTGTCACTTTGAGTATAGATTTTATAATGATAATGATAATATGTTTAATTTTTATTTCAATTCAAGCAATTTAAGAGATGTCGTCATACAGTGTTCAGACTGAAAATCTCATTGAAGAATTGGGTGGTTGCGGTCATCTTCAAGTATTGCTTTGTTTATGCATACACAGTTCAAACACGATAATATTTTGGAGCATACTAGCAATGTCTTTCATTGGATATACCCCTGATTTCTCGTGCACAGTATTGGACGTCACACAGTCATCTTTATCTACACTTAATCTAAGCAATGTTTCGCCTGATCACCTATGTTCTGCAGGCCCGAATGCAACGTGTAGTTCCTACATTTTTCAGCAATCAGCAAATACTATTGTAACAGAGGTACCTGAATATAAATAATATTTTTTTTCGAATAAATACAATAGATAAAACACAAGTCAATTTCTATATTCATGTTTTCATCTTGAAATTGACTATATAATTTTGTTATGATTTGTTCCGTTATTATTTAAATACTAAACATTTGTCTTGGTTGTATTAAATAGGTATCAAAATAACAATTTTATGTTTCTTATTTTTATTAATAGTGGAGTCTAATTTGTGACAGGCGCTGGATTGTGGCATTTATTACAACATTACAAATGGTAGGTCTAGTTGTCGGATCAATAATTGCAGGACAGATGGCCGACTGTCTTGGACGGAAAACAACAATTATCTCAGGAATTGCTTTTTTGACTATTTTCAATTTTATTGGACTTTTTACTCAGTCATGGAAAATGTATGCAGCTATTCGTTTTTTCATCGGTATAGGAGCAGGACTCCCGTATACTGTTCAGTTTACATATATGATTGAATTCGTAACATCAAAATGGCGACCACTAGTAGTTTGTTTCCCTTCATCAGCAATTGCAGCAATGTTATTGGCTCCTGTTTCCTGGTGGTTATATGACTGGAGGAATTTACACATTCTAAAGACGTTAGTTGGTGCACTCTTTACCATAATAATTTGGTAATATTTTGCGCTCAATATTTGAAATTTACGAATAGTAATGTGTCTCATGTGCATCTACATATTTATCTTTAACATAATGGTAACGCTGTGATATCGTCAATGATTATGAAAATTTAATTAGGCAAGAAATATTAAAATCAAGCAAACGCAAACTCATTTCTCGTTGATGACCCTGTTTAAAAGTATATAGAACTAGTTTACCTGCAAAGTAGATTTGGATGTCAAGAAAAAGCTGAAAAGCAATTATTTAACATTGTGTTTCTTTATTTTAAAAAGTTTTCAAATTACAAATGCATGCTATGCTTTAGGTTTTTACCAGAAAGTTTTAGATGGCTGTGTACTAAACTAAAATTTGAAGATGCAAGAACGGCAATAGATGTTGTTTCAAAAGTGAATAGAAGAAAATATTCAAGCCTCACAGATTTATTTCATAAAGCGAAAGAAGAAACCATTTCAAATACCACATTGAATT